CGAATGCTTCCAAGTTGTTCCGAGTAATTCCGAATGAATTCCATGTTGAAATTGATGCCAATTTGGAACTTCTACACACGGGGAGCCTGAGAACCAAGTTATTATTTTTTTAGGCCTCATCTCTTTTTTTCATATTTGAGGATTTAGAACAAACAGTCTGGTGATTTTAACTGAAATCAACATATATGTGTTCATTATTTAAATAATAATTTTTTTTATATCCCCCTTCGAAGAATTGAGGGTATATTGCTTTAATTTGCTGCTGTCTGTCAGTTGGTCGGTCTGTCAACCGGTCTGTCTATTGGTCCACTAAGTTTCCTTCATTTTCTTCACAATCATTGCACATACTGAAATGAAATGTTGGTATACAGATTGATCATATAAATATGTAGGTCAACTTTTGACAGAGTTATGCCCCTTGGACTTGGTAAAATTCCAACTACTGTAGTTCCCTTATTTTTCGCGGCCGAGTACTTCTTATCGCGAATGAGGTCTTCAACAGTCCGATTCTAATCGCAAAAAATATATTTGTTTTTCTTCTTGAAATATTATTGTCCATAAATTGTATCAACTTTTCACAAATTATATCCTCGAAGTCTTTTTCTTTTAAAAGATCAAAATTCAAAAGTTAAAAAAATAATTTTTGTTAGGTCATACAAAAAATAATCCTATGTTGATATCGCGTGAAATCACCTTCGAAAAATTCAATTTATCGCTTATATATCATTAAGAACAAACCCGAGCATTTTTCTTCACAACATAGTACTTATACCTGTACACGGACATTATTTTAGCCTTTGTTACTAAACTTCCTTTACAAAAATATCTGATTTTCCTTTATTCTTTTAATATGCATTTTAATATAAAAATTACTATACATTATATTCAATTAATTCACTCAATTTTAAAAGATATATTATGACTTCTATGACTTTTACTAATGGGGAAAAAAATACTAAGGTTTGATTTATCTTCACAATTAGATAAAACCGATAAAATTATTTTTTTCAAAGGTGACTTCACAACAGATCTTAACTGCCTGTCAGGAAATTCTGTTTGTCAGTGAGATTTTTGATCTATGTTTTCCTTGTAAGGATTGTTGTAATAAACTATTAAATCAGTCCTATAATTTATTCTTTTTTCTTCATATTTTCTATGTAATGACGTACTTTTATTGTGTAAGATAATATGTGCATGTTTCGGATTAAGCAGCTTTAAGGAGTATATTGTATACATGTACCTTGAGTATGCTCGTAATTCGATTTCTTTTAGACTTTTGCTACAACTTATATCCCCGTTAGTATCCAACTAAGCCGAGTGTTAAATTATATTTTAAAGAAACTGCCAAAGTTTTCATATTAAGTTTTGTGCTCAGCAGAAAAATGATTACCTCAAAAAGTAATTTATGTGAAATTGGACAACAATCAAATATTTAAAGAAATCGATGAGTAAAAATTTTTTTTGGGGGGAAAAAATTATTTTTTTTTCTATTTTGAAATTGTACCATGTTTATAGTTATACATATTATTAAGTATTTCAAGGATCATCTGCATTCAGTACTCTGATAAGAGAGATAACTCTTAAAGGTTTGATTTTCTATAATCCCTTTAAATGTCTTTTTGTTCATTTTTTGCCATGCAAACTCAAAATTAATTGCAGTTTACTTGTAAACATTATTTCATTTGGGAATTCATACTGATGTAACAATTTATGAGTGATAAGAGGATTTATGAACCGTATATTAAAACCTGTTGCACAAATATAGTTATGTTAGAATTGAAAATTGATGGAGAATAGAAATTTTATCAGGATCATTGAGAAAATGAACTTTTGGTAAATAATCATGGATTTATTAATCTGGCTTTGTATTTTCTAATACATGCATACTGTACATGTAGTGAAATACACATGTATACCACCAACATTTAGTTTTTTATACATATGGCATTTACCGTATAGCGGGTTTTCTTGGCGGGTGTAAAATTTGGCGTTTTACCGCTATACGGTATTTGCGTGAAAGGAGGTTTGTATTTCATATTATAGAAAATTGGCTGCATATGTCATGTGCATGTGTTGTCAAAGTAAAATATATAACACTTACACCATTTGAATTATTGATTTAATATTTGATATTCTTGTAACTTTGTATGAATAGGACATATTAAACATGCATAAGATATATATACAAGTACACATAAAGGAGTGCAAATATTGTTGCAGAATTTGACGCTTTTTCATTTTATATTGTTTTTGTATATTTGATTTTGTTTTTCAATGAAATGGTTGTGTATTTTATAGATGCAATTTGATTGAGTGGTACATCCTTTGATCAATTTGAAATTACATTAATTTTATGTCTCTTATATTTGCTAGAAGCACTAATCTGTGTTACATGTATAAATAAAAAAAGAATCCGGCTTTTAATTCACATTATTTTATTTAATTTCAAAGTTTCAGTGTTTAGTTTTTGCTCTAATATGTCATGAAATCCAGAACTGACAGAAACTTAAAACACACGATCAATATTCCAGAATTCCATTCAAGAAAATGACTCCCACTAGTTAATCAATGATCTGAATCATTCATGCGTTTTTTAAATGTGTTTATTTCTGTGCTTCCATTCTGTGTATAGCAAAAAGTTTTATATGAAATAAATATTTTATAATTAGATTGTCTTCCTGGTTTTACTTTTTTAACTATCTATTAAGCCATACCATATACAGTTTTCTGTATGACCTTCATTGTATTTTCCCTCCAAGTTGTTCTCCTTGGCTCCAATGCGTGAGGTTAAAGGGGCATGCATTGAAACAATATAAGCTAAAAGTTTTCATTCATATTTTATTTTCGTATGTTTACAGTACTTATAATAAACCAACTTATTAAAGGTATTTCTAATGATCATCAAAAATTTTAATGTCAGTTGTTGAGATTCCAGAGAGATTTTTTTTTTCATTTTGAACAAGGTACATGTCATGTTTTTGTTTTCATTATACAAGTTAATTCTAAATACAATTAGACTGAATCAACTGGTTTGTTGAATCTCCTTTCGTTATAACCATGATATTTTCTATACATTTAAACAAAACCAAAGGTACAGACCTTGTTTCCTTTTTTTTAAAATATAAAGAATTGTAAAAATTCTCTATCTCCTTTGTCAATAAACAAATGACATTCAAATTTATGATCATCAGAATTGCCTTAGTAGGGAATTGTAAATATCAAAATGGTTAAAAAAAATGAAGTTTAAATAGAATTTTCTTTTTTTGTACAAGCATTGGCGTCAGAAGCAAATTGAAAGTGGGAGAGGGCTAAGTGTAAGAGAAATAAAAAATCAGACCTATAAAAAAAACTGACAAGCAAAAAAAAAAAGAAAGAAAGAAAGGGAATGTTCTTTTTCCCAAAACACGAAAATCCTATTTTGTGGGGGCCCGGGTTAGGTTCGAACTTCATTACCCAAATTTTTTTCCGAAAACCACCACTTTCCTCATTTTTAACCTATACTACGACTTGTCTGTGCAAAGTGGGGTGCTAGACCTACGCAGCAATGTTCAATGTCTATACAAAGTATATATTTGGAAAAAAAGTGTGTGTGTGTGTACATTTCCCCCCCCCCCGGTTCCGAGGCCTATGACAAGTGACTTGGAGTTATCGTTCTAAGCATTCATTTCTAATTTTACAAACAAGTTCTAGTCCATATTTTTGGTGCTTATACAGAATATACTTTACACTGTAAATAACCCTTTATTAAATTCATTTCTAGTACTTTTCTGTTAGTAAAATGGATAATTGAATGTCGTCAAATTAATAATGATGAAAAGCTTTGAATTTCATAATAACAATACTACATACATAATTATCATTTTCAATGCTTTGGTATAATGTATTGCCCTATTAATTTTAAGATTTCTAAAGATAGAGGGTCAGCACACAAGCTTTTCCTTCAGTGTCTCGAGAACCATTTTTCTTGACGGATTTCGAACTTACTACTTGTCCAAAAGGTAGTACATAACAGATAGGCCAAATTTAATGCAAATAATTTTGATGTAGGAAGACTTTGTCTTATTATTTTTTATGGCGATCTGTAGGAATATTTCATCATTTTTAAATTATTTTTTTCTGGACCAAGCCACTGTGTTCTTACTTTCTGGAACTTGCCCAATATATTGTACCCCCAATGAGATATAATTAAGACATCAAGAACATATAAAAATTTCATATTATTCTTTATTTTTATAATCCATGTAATATATATTCAAAAAAGTAATATTTATACAACCGAAAAAATATATAAAGACTATTCTCCCTAGTGAGTACATCGTAGTACTATATGCGGCACAATCAAAACACTAGGTCATTGGGTGTAGATTCTTTAGAGTCAAATGTCCTACAATTGTGTACACACTGTGTTTGTTGCTTCATTCAGAAGAGGTTCTACTAATCAACTCTGTCTCTTTCTGTCTTCCTCATTTAATGGCCTTCTTGGTCCCACCGTGTGTAATACAGTCATCCCAATCTGGCCAGAATTCTGCCTTCATTCTCTCACAGTATCCACAAAGATTTTCAAACTCTGAAATGTACATGTATAAAAGAAAAATTACAAGGTACATGTGTACTTCAATCAGAGAATCACCGAACCCACCCACCCCCTCCACAGAAAAAGAGGATAGTGGAAGAAAAGGCAGATGGAAAGACAGAAGAATCTTGACCTTTCAGCCTTTGGACTTTAAGTTAATAAGAGTCTTAAAAATGTTTGTAAAAATTTTACTTAAATTTCTGACTTTAAGTTTCAATGTGAAAATTTACAGATATCTAAAGTTATATCCTGAAATGAATGTATGCAACATATAAATTTCTGTTCTTGTCTTAAATAATGACCTTGACATTTGACTCTAAAAGCAATACGGGTCTTCTTAAGACCATAAGGCTTTGTGAGATAAAAAAAAGTTGTGAAATAAAATTTCAATGCAAAAGCTCAGGCTTTTGAAACTACATGTATTGTCTGGAAATTAAACTGTTATGTACAGACAGAATAACAGACAATTCAAAGGAGCTTCCAATTGTAGTTAATGTATATTTTCAACGGGATATGTGGATCTATAGCTGGCTTGGTCTGAAAAAAGGCGTTCATTTTTTCTAGACTATTGAGCTACCGCTACAGATTCCTTACTTTTGAATTCTTCCTCTAAAAATGATCCAAATCCATTCCAATAGCACTGGGAGAGAATTCCAAATATAGCGCAATCCGACTGACAAGGCCTCTCTCCCAGAAAGAACTTTTTCTTCCCTGAAAACAGAAACAATACCAAATTACGAGTTCTGTTCAAGCAAATGTGCTTGCATTGATATTCATGCCTTTTCATTATACCGGTATATTTATTATACCGGGGTATATGTCTAGTAAAAACAAATTATGTGTTTGCACAAACCTAAAAAGTTAGAAAAATTCGTAAAGCATTCAACAATGATTGTCTCCACTTCTTTTTGGGAATGGCGACCCATTCCTTGCGCATGCGCTTGTTTTCCCAAGACACGCTTCATCAGTTTCTTGAAGATCCAAGGAATTTTAACATATTTGGAAAGTTCGTTGGCTTCATCGTAAACCCAACGATGTAGCACAATTGTCCTGTATTGAAAAGGAAAATGATCCAATTGTCATTATTACATGTAAGGATGGATACAAATAAGAACAGGATGCCTGGATTGGCATGCACACATATTTGAATATTAAAATACAAGAAAAATTCACATGTGTAAATTATTCACTGAAAATTAATAGAGGTCTAGATTCAATCTCGTTTTAACATGTACCAGTAAAAGTACTCCTCCGCCACTTTTTGAAAAGAATAAGCTATGGCCTTTTCCTCGTCTGTGAAATCTTTGTCCAGATCTATATTGAGTGTTTTATTGATGAACTTGACACAAAACTCTGAATCTGCCACCTCCTCCCCATTGTATTCAATCCATGTTATTTTTCCTTTAGAACTTCTGTTTCTACCGCTGTCGTATTCATTCTGGTTTGAATATTGTAAAATTGATCCTTTACATATATTTCTTATAGCAATAAGTTCATTCAGTTGTAAATAAATGAATTCAATTATAAAGACAATACAAATGGATAACCATGAGTGACTTCTTGCAACAATCCTTTATACTCAGTATCAAACCTGATATGGAACTTTTGCCATTCTCAAATAGGTTTCCAGTTTTACAGCGAATGCAGTTAGACTAGGAGCAAACGGACCTCTGGGAACTGTATGGTGAATAACCGTGTCTCTAGGGTAAGATTTTCTGAAGAAAACACACAAGAATAAAAAATACAGACAATCATAATTATACCCCCCTTTGAAAAGAAATAGTATATATTAGTGATCTAAGTACGTCCGCCTGTTACGCTTGGGGTACCCATCTCTTATCCGCAACTCCTTTCATGCGATGAGACTTTCAAGGAATATCTTTATTACATATTGCCATTGTGCATCTCCTATTTTATTTTTTGTTCTGACACATATTTTGGATTTCCCATAGCAAAACATGGACACTGCCATTGTATTCATATATGGCAGGCGGGGGATATCATTTAGTGAGCTCATTGCTCACAGTACCTCTAGTTAATCCAGAATTCACATAGGAAAAATTAGGTCATACGTACACAATTTATTTTTTCAATTTGTTATCTTTCCATTTATTGTTAAAACCGAGTAATTTCCATCCAATGACTCGTAATGCATCTTGGCTCTCCTGACACCTCTATTTCCCGCAACCACCTCTTCCTGTCCTCTCTGCGTTAAGATCATCCAGTGTTTCAGAACCAGCACCAATGTATTATCTTTCCATCAATGTACAGCTTGTCTTTAACTAGGCCCTACTTTGATCTTCCTTGGCTTTCTTGAAAATGGGGTACACGCCCTTTCTCCGTTCTTGTATTTCTTTTGGGAATTGTTCACCAATCGAGAGGTTTGTGTCTTTTACCTTTGTAGGCATTTTTCTGGATGAGTTCCCGCTGGGAAAATCTAGTAAATTTTGCTACAATAGGGCGCGGTTTTCGTTGCTTATCATGCCGATTCTAGGTAACGTTTCAATTTGAATGTCATCCAATAGTTCTCAATTGATAGAGCATTTTGTCTTTATAGTGACTTCACAATTTTCTTGCTCCCCTGGCCTGCTAGTGCCGTTGTCATATCAGACGGGCTCTAGCATTAATCTGTAAGAACTCTATTTGTGAGCCTTATGTTTTTCTTCATGGAATTTTCCAACGCTGTTTTCAATTCATTGAGTGCTTTTGAGCTGTTTTTACCCTTAGTGTCGAGTGATTTTGAAATACATTCTTGTTTTTTTCCCTCTAGTACGCGAGTGTTTAAGCTTTTTATGTCATTTTTAAAGTTTGACAAGGAAATCTCAATCAACTCTAACTTTTCAAGTTCTTGGCTCATAATATCTGAGAAAAAAATTCCTTGAACCCACTGTTGGGAAGCCTGGAGAGAATTGTTCGATTGGAAATTCTGGTGGTGCACTTTGCATTTCCGTCTGTATAGGTATTGATTGCATGGGCTGTAATTGATGATAGGAAACATAACCTAGCTATGTGCTGGGTGTGTTGCATTTACTGATTCTCTGCATTACCGTGAAGTATTTGTTGACTAGCGGCCATCTTACCCTGCGCAGATTTTCGCTCTTGTATCTTTTTCTTCGGTGTTTTGGAGACTGAACACGCACAAGAATTCATAAAACCAAGATATATTTACACAGTCAAACACATACAAGATCCCGAACTAAAGCAATTCATGCTTCTAGCAGTGGAATCAAATTAAAGTGCATGAATTCTCTGGACGAAAAAAACCCATGTCCACCTCTGTATGTGTCAACTGATAATATGCTAAATGGAAGATTTACTGTTGCGACAGGACTTTGTTCAGTGTGTTAATTAAACCTAAATTTTTCTGTTGACACATTGAATTCTTGTAGTTTCTTTACGTTACTCAGCTTATTATGGTAAGTAAAATTCACAAAAATGAACTAAACATATATATAGTTTCAGATTTTATGAACTCGATTCATCTACTGTAAACTATAGTTTACGATCGGAAACATCATAATGGTGTTTAGTTCACATTTCTGTTTTATAGTTGACGCCTTAATCTACATTTCATTATAGTAGACTGAAAAGTATTATAAAGTATCAGTGAAGTATCATTAAATTTTATTCAGTGGTATAGGAGGAGTTGTGAATAAGCGATGGGTAACCTTCAATATTTAAACTAGAGGTACTGTGAGCACCGAGTTCACTATATATGAAATCCCCCGCTTCCCAGATCAAGAAGTAAAATAGGAGGTTCACAATGGCATTATGTTATAAAGAATCTGCGAAAGTATCATTAAATGTTATTCAGTTTTAAAGGAATGAAACATGCAGACATAATGAACATTATTCAAGATCAAAAGTTCTTAAAACAATACAAAGCATGCGCAGGAGCAGAGCGAACGCGGAACTCTTATACATCAGAGGTGGGATCAGGTGCCATGGAGGAGTGAGCATCCCTTGCCAACTGGTCACACCCGCCGTGTGCTCCTTGACATTATCGGGAAATAACGGCCGGAAAAAATTAGTCGTCAATTCCGTGTTGCGTATAGGAGATGGGTAATGTAATCTTCAATAGTATTGAAAGAATTTCAGTGTCCGTGTTTGGCTAAAGGAAACCTGAAATATGTGTTGGATCTAAAAGATAAATACGGGGTTAATGGCCCTAAATTTAACAAAAAAATTGTGAAAGTCAGTCACATTAAATTTTATTCAGTGGTTTAAGACCTAGAGGGACAAGCGGATAAGAGATGGGTACCCCAAAGCATGAGACAGACGTACATACAGCTAGACAGAGGGACGAACGGACATCCCGATCACTATAATTTTATACCCTTCAACTTTCAAGGAAAAAGTAACAATACAAAGAAAGAAAACGAAATGTGACAGGACAATTATCAAATAAAATCTAATTCTTATTTAAAAGAGAAGAATAAGAAAGAAAACAAACATGTTGACAGTTCTTAATCACGTGATCTAAAAAAAATCATAATGAAAATATTTGTTGTAAGAATTCTCCTATCTTGAAAGGTGTAGTTTCCCCCTTTTTTTCATCAGAAATAAAACATACATGTACATGTACCACTTATATTTTTAACCCGCCTTTTTCTGGAATGCCAAGTTAACATTATTATATTTAAATTTTAATCCTTCTTCAAATCAATTGTATCAATATTCAAATCAATTTCATCTATCTTTAGGTTAAATTCAATTATTCAATCCTATAGATCATTAATTCATTTGAAGATAGGTATAATTCATTTGATCTTAATTATTTATCTTTAATTCAACTGTACCTATCTTCAATTCATTTGAAAATACTAGGTCCAAATACGTTTACTACTAATTGAAGATAGGTACAATTATTTGAAGAAAGATTCAAATATTTGAATATATGTTAAATAGCCTTCCATTTAAAACTTTTGACATGATCGGGCGCATTAATTGTTGAAAGCACAACCAGTTAAATTGTTTTGACCCCTCTGGCTCTCCATACATGTGGTTAAGAATGTGATTAGTCACTTACTTGCTATTTTTTGTGAATTTCTTAAACACTGCTATGACAGCAATTCCAAGAGAAGCAGCCACGCATATCTCTTTGTAATGAGTTTTCATAAATGTCTGCACTCCTTCCATTATACTACTTTTTAAAGTTATTGAATATATAATACTTCTAAACGTCCATCGTCTTTCAAGTGTTAAAATCCGGTTTCGTTTGTATGGCTATCTGTTATGTACATAAATACGTAAATTCTTAGCAATTGAAAAAAAATGTTCTAAATTTTGACCTTTTTTCCAACCCTTTCAATCTACATAGGCACTCCCCATCATACTTGTTAGAAAATACGCCGTGAAACTTGCTCATTTTACGCATTAATACATGACTCATAATGTTATTTTCAATTTTTATGATACATATATTTGTTTGTATCTGATTCATTTGTTCTAAGATGGATAGGGCATATGCAAAATTTAATTAATTATCCAGATAGTCCTGTGGGTTTTTTAATGATATTAAAAACACCACCGTTAAGCACTTTTAATGATCTATATTTTGCCGTTATCTTTTAAATAATACTATTTTAAAGAACGTTGTAAATTGTAAATATTTACATTTGCAAATGTTTTCCTTTATATAACACGTAACTTGAAAGCATTTGCGTATGGGAAAATTAATCCGGTACGGATTTCTCAAGCAAGATTCATGTTTTTTTTTCTTGTATGTTGAAATTGAATTAAAATACACTCTTATGTACATAAAATTCCCCGATCAAAATAAACAGAATGTAACTTTTAACGTCTTTTTAGCCTTTTTGTGTATATCAAAAGAAAATGTCAACATGTGCGTATATCTTGATACGACTAACCTGTTAATCGGTCGGAACGTCTTGCGGTTAACCGGTAAGCAATCAATTGCCATCCCTAATATTTTGAAACAATAAACGTTATTTTATAAATATACAGCTACAGTTTGAAAGTATCAAGTAGATGCATTGGAAATAAATGTTTCAATATAAGTTCAAAATGGAAGGTGCTTTAAATTGGATTAAATCGTTAATTATTAATTGGTTAATTTCTCAGACTGCCCATCCAAGGTGAACGTCTTGGCCATTGTGTAAGGAGTGATAGCAGGTATTGTGTTCTTTGGAATTCTTCTTCTTCTTATCTGGAAGCTGTTTACTACGATCAGTGACAAGCGAGAGCTGGCCAGGTTTGAAAAGGAGGCGCAGAATGCCAAGTGGGATACGGTAAGAATCAACTGGCAAATTCTGTGTAGAAATAGTCAGATTTAATGGAAAAATATATTGAAACTTAAGTTAAAAGTTAGATATACATGTATGAATGCATTGGAGACATTTCCATTTTAATTTTAATGTACATATACCAGAGTCTTAAATTTTTTGATTTATTCTGTTCTGTAATATTTTTTTACTAAAACGAAAGAAGAATTTTAATCTTTCATTAAGATGACTAGAAATTGTAGACATTCATTAAAATTTCTTTTATTTTAAATGGTAAATAAATCAATACTTATTTTGGGGACAGAAAATGACTTTCATGGTTTTATTTTATGCATAATGATTATTATAAATTGCATGTTATTTAACCATTCTTTTCTTTTAACAGGGAGAAAATCCAATTTATAAAAAAACAACATCAACTTATAAAAACCCAATGTTTGGAAAAAATAAATAGAGGGCACGCTGTTTATTGAATACCAAAGACACATAGTATTGTAATCATTATCTGACATATTGTATATGTATTGTAGGGGGAGAATCCAATTTATAAGCAAGCTACATCCACGTTTGTCAACCCCACCTACAGGCAATGAAAAGTCAACATGAAGATGGTCATTCAAGACTTGGGGATAAAAAATATTGTAGACAGGTGTACAACATGCAATGAAAAATGATTTTCAAGAAATGGTTTGGGTCATTTGATATAGATTTAGATTCAACCTGGTAAAAGTTTTAATCACTTACTAATTTCAAAATGCTCAGAAATGAAAAAGAAGCATGTTGAAATATTTTACTAACTATATTGCATGAACAAATTCTTTCTCATCATTTATGATCAAAATTTAGAATTGGGGTGCATGGTTAAGACTGCATGTTTACATTCCTGTTACAAATGTCTTGATTTCCATCAGATTGAGACAAGCATACAGGGGTTTCAGATGTGATGTAGTTGCATGAGTTAACTCCCTTGTCATAGCTTGCAGCAAGGGTGTCCTATTCTCTCAGCTGCATGATTTATGTCGAGGGCTTTCTTGTGACATCAGAGAAGTGTATGATGGCATTTTCTCCCAATTCGTGCCATTAGTTGAGTGTAACAAGTAGAAATGTTTTCCCAATATATATTCCACTGCCATAGTATTGGTTTCTAAAATGTTAAACTCTTAATGGTTTCCCATCCTTCAGTTTGATTGAAGTTTAGTCAATTACTAATTATAATTTAATCTGGAGTAAATGTCTATTGCATTTTATTTTGTATTTGTTTTAGATATGTTGGAATATCACTGAATATGCAATTATACTGAAATACAGAGTCATGTAAAATAAAATATAACGTTTTTTCCAAAAATTATGTTACCTATGCACACATTTTCATGGTTGTATTAGAGAAAAATATATCTAATATTTGACATTTTGATGGGTATTTAATAGATGAATATGATTTGATATTGAGGAAAAAGAAAGTTGTTGCTTAATTTTTTGGGGATCTTTTGATCTGTTTTTTTTTACCTGCCATCATCTAAAAGATAAGAATGAATTTAAACAAAGCAAAAGAGAAGAGAAAGTTACAAAAATGGATAATGGTATGAAATGGATGGAAATTTTACAGATTTCTTTCTGTAGAAAAATACTCAGATGAGTACTTGAAATAAAGCATTAATTTATAAGTACATGTATATGTAGTGAAGGCATGAAATGTCCTACATGTAACAAATAAAATATCTAAGGTGTATATGTCCATTAATATTTAACAAGAAACTGTAAACCAATTTTTATTTGAAGTTAGCCTATAACTTTTAATTTGCCTGACTAAAGAAATTTTCAAAATAAATCCATTAAATGAATAATTCATGGTGTGAAACATTAGTGAGAAATGGAAGGTCAAAAACTCGGAGAAATTCTACATGCAAATAAAAATTGGTTTACGGGTGTGCAATATGTGCCTTTTGTAAAGTATTGCATTCTGTGATTTATTTGAGTGTTTCCTAGTTTGTAATGGCATTTTACATCAACTGTGTTTTGTCTTAAAGGAGTATATTGCATTGTGCACTTTGATTATCATTCCTGTCCGTCTATATTTAAGCTGAGTATCAATAATATTTTAAAGGAATTGACAATTTTTTCAATACGTTTTTTTTATATAGTAAATACACTGTTTGTGTTACACCAAGTTACACTAAATGAAGTTTTTTGCCTTAAAAACAATTTATGTGAAAGTGGACAACAATCAAATATTGAAAGAATCAATTAGATGAGTAAAACTTTTCTTTGATTTTTTTTTTATTTTGAAATTATACCGTGTTTATAGTTATACATATTATTATAGTATTTTAAGGTTCATCAATACTCTGATAAGAGAGATAACTCTTAAAGGTTAATTTTCTATAATTCCTTTAAATGTCTATTTGTCCATTTTTTGCCATGCAAGCTCAAAATTGTTTGCATTTTACTCATAGACATTTCATTTGGGAATTCATAAATGTAACAATTTATGAGTCATAAGAGGATTTATGAACCTTGAATTAAAACCAGTTGCACAAATATAGTTATGTTAGAATTGAAAATTTAGGGAAAATGAACATTTTATACAGGATCATTGAGAAAATTAATTTTTGGTACATAATCATGGATTTATTATTTGGCTTTGTATTCTCTAATTGGACAAATTATGGTTTTACATACAGTGAAATATACCACCAACTTTTAATTTTCTATACATATGACATTATTTGTGTAAAAGAAGGTAGGTATTTCATATTAAAGAAAAGAAGCTGCATTCGTCATGTGCATGTGTTGTCAAAGAAGAATATAGAACACTTACACCATTTGAATTATTGATTCAATATTTGATATTCTTGTAACTTTGTATGAATAGGACATATTAAACTTGTATAGGATATATATACACATAAAGGTGTGCAAATATTGTTGCAGAATTTGATGCTTTTTCATTTTATGTTGTTTTTGTATATTTGATTTTGTTTTTCAATGAAATGGTTGTGTATTTTATAGATGCAATTTGAATGAGAGGTACATCCTTTGAGCAATTGGAAATCACATTAATTTTATGTATCATAATAATTGCTAGTACTATACCTGTGTTATTAATTGAAATAAAATCCTGCTTTTAATTCACATTATTTAATTTAATTTCAAAGTTTCAGAGTTTAGTTTTTGCTCTAATTTGTCATGAAACCCAGAAGTGACAGAAACCTGAAACACACAATCAATATTCCAGAATTCCAGCTGCTAAGAAAAATGACTTCTGCTAGTTGATCTGAATCATTCATGCGTATTTTTAAATGTGTTTATTTCTGTGCTTCCATTCTGTGTATAGCATATAAAGTTTTATATGAAATAAATATTTTATAATTAGATTGTCTTTCTGGTTTTACTTTTTTAACTATCTATTAAGCTATACCATATACAGTTTTCTGTATGACCTTCATTGTATTTCCCCTCCAAGTTGTTCTCCTTGGCTGCAATGCGTGAGCTTAAAGGGGCATGCATTGACACAATATAAGCTAAAAAAATTCATTCATATTTTATTTTCGTATGTTTACAGTACTTATAATAAACCGAGGTATTTCTAATGATCATCAAAAAATTTTAATGTCAGTTGTTGAGATTCCAGAGAGATTTGGAGCTCCCATTTTTTTTTTTTTTTTTTTTTTGAACAAGGTACGTCATGTTTTAATTTTCATTATACAAGTTTATTCTAAATACAATTAAACTGAATCAACTGGTTTGTTTAGTCTCCCTTTGTTATAACCATGATGTTTTCTATACATATAAACGAAATCAAAGGCAAAAACCTTGTTTCCTTTTTTAAATATAAAGAATTGTAAAAGTTCTCTATCTCCTTTGTAAATAAACAAATGACATTCAAATTTATGATCATCAGAATTGCCTTAGTAGGGAATTGTAAATATCAAAATGGTTAACAAAAAATGAAGTTTAAATAGGAGAATTTTCTTTTTTTGTACAAGTGACTCGGAGTTATGGTTCTAAGCATTCATTTCTAATTTTACAAATAAGTTCTAGTCCATATTTTTGGTGCTTATACAGAATATACTTTACACTGTAAATAACCCTTTATTAAATTCATTTCTAGTACTTTTCTGTTAGTACAATTTATAATTGAATGTCATCAAATTAATACTGATGAAAAGCTTTGAATTCCATAATAACAATACCACATACATAATTATCATTTTCAATGCTATGGTATAATGTATTGCCCTATTAATTTTAAGATTTCTACAGATAGAGGGTCAGCACACAAGCTTTTTCTTCAGTGTCTCGAGAACCATTTTTCTTGACGGATTTCAAACTTACTACTTGTCCAAAAGGTAGTACATAACAGAGAGGCCAAATTTAATGCAAATAATTTTGATGTAGGAAGACTTTGTTTTGTAAATTTTTTATGGCGATTTGTAGGAATATTTCATCATTTAAAAAAAATTTTCTGGACCAAGCGACTGTGTTCTTACTTTGTGGAACTTGCCCAAGATATTGTACCCCCAACGCGATATAAAACATCAAGAACATATAAAAAAAATTTCATATTATTCTTTATTATCATAATCCATGTACAATGGATAATTAATAATGCATAATATATATATATATATATATATATATATATATATATATATATATATATATATATATATATATATATATATTCAACAACAAAAAAAAAACCGTGTTATTTATACAACCGAAAAAATGTAAAAGACTATTCTTCTATATGACTAGTACTACATGCGAAATCAAATCACTAGGTCATTGGTGTAGATTCTTTAGAGTCAAATGTCCTACAATTGTGTACACACTGTGTTTGTTGCTTCATCCAGAAGAGATACTACTAATCAACTCTGCCTCTTTTTTCTCTTTTCCTCATTTAATGGCCTTCTTGGTCCCACCGTGTGTAATACAGTCATCCCAATCTGGCCAGAATTCTGCCTTCATTCTCTCACAGTATCCACAAAGATTTTCAAACTCTGAAATGTATAAAAGAAAGATTACAAGGTACTTAAGAGAATTACTGACCCCTCCCCCAGGCTCACTCCAAAGAAAAAGAGGATAGTGGAAGCTAAGAAGAGGCAGATGGAGGGACAGGGAAGAACCTTGACGCTCGGCTTTTGGACTTTAAGTTAAGTGGGAGTCTTAAAAAAAGTTTGCTAAATTTTTACTAAAATTTCTGACATTAAGTTTCAATATGACAAACAGAGATCTTAAGTCATACCCTGAAATGAATGTATGCAGAATATTAACTTCAATTCTGGTTTTAATTAATGACCGTGACATTTGACTCCAAAAGAAATGCGGGTCTTCCTAAGGCCATAAGGCTTTGTAATCAAAATTAGGAGTTATGAAATAAAATTTCAATGCAAAAGCTCAGGCTTTTGGAACTATTGTCTAGAAAGTAAACTAAAATGTACAGACAGAATAACAGACAATTCAAAGGAGCTTCCAATTGTTGTTCATATATATTTTCAATGAAATATAGATCTATAGCTGGCTTGGTCTGAAAAAAAGGCGTTCATTCCATTTTTGCTAGACCATTGAGCTACCGTTGCAGATTCCTTACTTTTGAATTCTTGTTCTAAAAATGAACCAAAGCCATTCCAATAGCACTGGGAGAGAATTCCAAATATAGCGCAATCCGACTGGCAAGGCTTATCTCCAAGAAAGAACTTTTTCTTCCCTAAAACACACAAACAATACCAAATTACGAGTTCTGTTCAAGCAAAAATATGATTGCATTGATATTCATGTCTTTTCATTATACTGGTATATTTATTATATACGTCTAGTAAAAACAAATTATGTGTTTGCACAAACCTAAAAAGACAGAAAAATTCTTTAAGCATTCAATAACGATTGTCTCCACTTCTTTTTGGGAATGGCGACCCATTCCTTGCGCATGCGCTTGTTTTCCCAAGACACGCTTCATCAGTTTCTTGAAGATCCAAGGAATTTTCACATATTTGGAAAGTTCGTTGGCTTCATCGTAAACCCAACGATGTAGCACAAGTGTCCTGTATTGAAAATGAAAATGATCCATTTGTCATTATTACATGTAAGGACATATACAAATAAAAACAGGATGCCTGGATTGGCATGCGCAAATATTTGAATATTCCAGTACAAGAAAAAAATCACATGTAAATTGTTCAGTTAAAATTAATAGAGGTCTAGGTTCAATCTCGTTATACCAGTAAAAGTACTC